TGATTATTTAAATTTGAATTTGAACACATCTAGATTTATCCATTTAACCTTATTTGATAAGTTGTTCAATTTAGAATTCAAATTAATTTAAGTTTGACTTAAATTCGAATTTGAATCTGAATTAAAATTAGACTACTGGATAAAGGATAAAATCTCTTCCTTCCCTATCTGAGATAGGCGCCACGCACAGGGATAAAACCCTAGAGTGTGGCCGGCCACCAAGTGGATAAGGGGAAGGGATTTTTTGTTCCAAATTCAAAATTGGAGATAAGGATTTGATTCTATTTTGAAGTTTGACTTCTTCTCTTTAAATATGAGAAAGATAGAAAATTGTAGAGACAATTTTTTAATAGATATTCAGCCCTAAGTTTGTTGTGGCCGAATTTCTCATAGAGTGAAAAATAGAGAGCAAAATTTTTCTCCAAAAATTCCACATCGTGCATGCGTTGGTGTTTGTGGAAATTCGAGTGTTTCAGAAACCTATTTTGTCTCACGTGTGCCCACACACACGTCTACGTGGAATCAAGGAATTGACGTGGAAGACTTTGGTATTCTAAACACAAAGCTTGGAGCAAGGACTGTTCGTGGTCAAAGAAATTCAAGTTATCATCCGAGTCGGCTTCCAGGTATTTTTCGGTTGATCCTTGAATAGTGTAAATTAATGTGATTAATTTATTCGTGCATAAATTAATATAATCTATAGAGTATGTCAAAAGTTTTATGAAAATTTTTGTTATACACGATCCGTTGTTTTCCTACCACGCTTCCGCACCCGAATTCGATTCGGGAACCAGCAAATACATGTTTAATTTCCTAAGGAATTTTAATCACCACAATTAAGAGTCGTCGTATGGTAGGTCAAATAATTGCTAATTAAAATGAGACTATCTCAATTAATAAATACTATCTCAAATATCTTATACTTCTAATATTTATTAATTTTCTTTTATTTAGGTCAAGAAAATAATTAACCAATTTAATTATTTCTTTATGAGTGTAACCCATCGTTTCATATCTTTTAGACTTAACTTAGAAGTTGCCGTCGTAGGGTAGGTTAATTCAAAAATACATCTTAGATATCCTATCTCTTTGGAAGCCAACCTTATTATTATAATTAATGAATACCCTCCGTAGGGAGGACGAAATCAAAGCGCCTCGGGGCCTCATTAATTACTCACGGTGTTGTACTAACGGTGGAGACCTATGCGTTATATTGTTATATTACCTGCTCCAACTCATTATTTACAAATACTATATTTATTTTATAAACAACTCTTACTTTATACTTCTTAGTGAATTTAAACAGTTCAAGTCACTAAGTTCCATATAATTTTAAACAACTTTAAAATTATATTAAGTCATTTATGACAATTTTAAAATTTAACATTTAAATTTATGAATTTCACATTTGACTTATTTAAATTTTGCAAAACCATTTGCAAATTAATTTATTTAAATTTAATCTCATTAAATTTAACAACGTTAAATTTAATCTTATTAAATATGATAATTTTGAATTTAATCTCATTAAACCCATCAATTTGGCACATTTAATTAATTTAATTTACTAAAACAATTTTAGAATTATAATAAATAATTAATGCGCATGATGGATGTTATACATATAAACTAGGTAGGCACTTTCTATCATATGATGGCATATTATATGCATAGCAATATAATTATTATCAATCATAATAAATAAATAGATAAATAAAGACATGCAAGCGAAATGGAAAAATTTAGCCAGATTTCATGGACCTAAAAATTATAACCCCAATAATAATAATAATAATAATAATAATAATAATAATTACATCACAATGGGTCTTCTTATAATTCTCCATCTTCAAATTCTCCATTTTCATTGTCTTCCTTTTTGGTGGATCTCAAAAAAAATGATTTAAAAAAAAAACAAAATGGAACTGGGCTACCTAAAGGCAGCCCTTTTGTCGATTATGGAGACTGGAAAGGCCAGCCCATATCATATTACCTCTGCCTCATTGATTGAGGCAGAGGAGGCCCATTTGGGCCTGGGCCTTGCACCAGCTAGGACAATCCTAGCTGGTCCCGTGACTGCACCTCCCGTTCGGCCTCATGGCTGCTGCAGTTCTGCCATGGCCGACGTTCGGCCATGGCAGCCGGCCTGCCATCGCCGGCAACAGTCACCGGTACGGTCACCGGCAACCTTCCATTTTTTTTAACAATTTGGAACTTTGCCAAAAAAAATTATTGTTGGAACTCTTCCACAAATTCACACGTGATGATCCGTCCGCCGTTGAAGAAAAATAAAATTACATATAAATTTCTATTTTACAATTGATCTAATAAAAATAAAATAGCAAAAACTAATTCCATAGAACCGGAAAAATTTACGACCAATCCATTTACATAATACATAACCATCACACAATAATCATACATCATATGCATAAGTGTCTACCCATTAAACATACATGAATTATCACATAATCAAACGTTAAATTAATATGAAAAAAGACCGCTCTGACACCAATTGTTTGTTTCTCAAACCGGATTTTTAAAAAAATTGTGCGGAAGCGCGGTATCGATCGAATCACATAAATCAAAATTTAATGCGATCATTATTTCATATTAATTTAACTACAAAGAAATTAAAGAGAAGAAGAAGAATTTTACCGTCGTTCAATTAGGACGTAAATCTTGAACTCCTCTAACACTGTCTTGAGCTCTTAAATTCTAAGAACACGGTTCTTTCTCAACGTATCTCCGGATTACTCTGAACCCGAACGTGTAGACGTTCTAATGGGTTTTTCTCAACACATGAGATTGATGAATAAGAAGGTCACCTATAGTTATCACTCACTTTTCTCAAAAGTATGTGCTAGCACTCAAGAAATTTTTTTTCATTTTTCTTTTTGTTTTTTATTTTTTTATTTTATTTTAGGAAAATATGAACCAAAACTGATTCATCCGCTCATTTACTCTTCTTTTCCTCATGCTGAGGAAACATGCAACAGCACGTTTCCTCCCACTCCCTCTTTTTTTTTTTTTTGAGGAAATGTTAGCACGTTTCCTCCCCTCTCTCCTGCAGCCTTCTTCTTCTTTTTTGTTTTTTTTTATTTGTATTATGGCCAAATCTCATTGGCCAAAGTAAAATAAAATAAATTTCTCTAGATGAGAAATAGGAGTGTGAGAAAAATTTCTTTCTTTTTGTAAAAGTGATTAGATTCATCCATATTAATTTAAAATGATTTAAAATTAATTTCAATATTAATTAATCGAATTAATTAATATATCTATATTTAGAATTCTTAATTCTAAATTAATAATCATAACCCAATATAATAGGTATAGTTCACGTAATCTTATGGAGCCGTTGAGAGGAACTATAGACATTATCATTTTAAGCTCCAATAATTTTGCCAATTAATTAACACCTTAATTAATATATCAAAATTATTAATTCTAAATTACTCTACTATAAATTTAGACTTACACTCTTAAAATTATAAAACAATTATGTTCACGGAATTTGTGTTGTCCATTGATATAATCACTACATACAAATTAATCCTCCATAAATGGTTCATAATTAAAGTTAGGAATTTTCCATTGACCTCTTTAATTATATCTTTCTCCATAAGTATTATCGATCCTCTAATGAATAATATATTTTATGATCCAATCATAAAATTGAGCGCTCTTATTATTAAACCCCTGAATCAACACTTATGGGAACCATCCATCTACTTCATTATGAAGGAATGGATTTCTTCTTGTAAATTAATATTCTCGGCTATTTATTTTACTATGCTCCCAATATACCAAGACTTTGACACTATTCATATGTGTCATTACTCAATATATCAAAAAACATAATATCATAAATAGGAGTCTATTAATTACTCAGAATTAAGATTAATTCATAGATGACCATCATTGATTAATATTGAATATTCTATTTAATAACAGAATTTATTAGAGATTCATAATTAATCGCGTTTCGGTCTTATGTAATCATATTACATAAAATGCTTTCATTCCAATCATCTCATTATTAACAATCTAGGATAAGATTGTTTCATTCAGAATGTAATGAACCGTATTAATAATTTTAAATCCCAACTTTAATTTATAATTATGGACAAATTTAGATTATTTTACTCCAAACATTATTTTCTGCATAAAACACTTATATACAATGTTCAAAGTTACATATAAAATAATCTAAGAATTTTTTATATTTATAAAACATCACATGTATGTAAAATAATATTGAAAAAGTTTCATCATTTTATTAATAATCAGCAAAGTATTTACATCTTATTTAATTTATAGGCATATACTCTAATAATATCGTCGTGTCACTATACGGATTGTCAACCCTAACAATAATTAAATTTAAAATATTCTCTTTTTTTTTCTTATATTTTGAACTCAACTCATGAAGAAGAACCAAGTGCAGGACCCTGCTGGTTTTTGTTCCAAAACGAAGCCCATACTACACACACACCAAGAATCGAGCTGTCCTAATGTTTTGGCGATTCGGTGTTGAGCAACAAATGTCAGTTTTGACTTGGGGTCAACTCCATCGGCTTTGCTCATCCATTTTGGCTGTTTTCAGCGGCTAGTTTCGGTTCGGGCCATAAGGAGTCTTCCACATTTCATCCTTTTACAGCATGGTGTAATTTCTCCCATCACAATCTAGCATTTGTACAATCAAGATATTATTAAAACAAATATTTTCCATACACATTATAATTATTTATTTTAACAATCAAATTAATATTTACTGCATGCATGAAAAGCACTAAGAACTTGAAACAACAACACAACACAAATAGACGTTATCATTCCCTATAAATAGAGGTACAAAACCTTAAAAAACAACAACGTAAAGATCCCGTTCATTTTACCGATTTAAATTTAAAATTTGAGTTTTGTTACAGTAAAAAGTTATCATAAACAGTCAAATCTAATTTTTTACTACAGTAAAAGGCTCTCACATCACATCTCAACTCGAATTAAAAATTCAAATCAGCGAACTAAATGGGATAAATTTTCTCATCTCTCTCAACCTATGAAACTTATTTTACCAAAAAGCGTTTTAGTTCGAACCTTGAAATCCCTTCATTACACACTTTGAAACACCAAAATCGTCACCTCATGATCATCTTCACCGCCATCGATAAACCTTCAAACTTCAGTCATTTCTCATGAATACTCACCGGTGGCTATAGAGGCAACCCGAGTTCATCATCCACGTGGGACTTTAAAACTAGCTAATTGGAGACAACCACGTCGACTAACCCACCATATTATAGTCGTTTATTCAACCAGGCCCCAACAACTTTAAAACTTGTACTAAGACTTTAGTAACTCCTAACATTTTTAATGCCCATCAAAAAAATTTTGTCTCGTTATGCATTACAAAAATATAATTCCAAATACAAGCTAAAAAGTTAAACTTGTATTTCTTTTCTACAACATAAAATATGAGGAAAAACATTAATTTTAAACAGGTACATTGTATTGTAAAACCGGCTTGACAATAAGGATCCATTTGATACATAAGTTCGAAATATTGTGGTTTGAATTTTTGTAGTTTGAAATATGTAGTTTGATGTTTTAGTTCAAAACATTGAAAATAGGGGGAGGGGGTATAAAGTCAGAATTCTTATTTTTTTTAAGTTTGAAAACATCAAATCAATGAAAGATATTTACCAAATGTTGATTCAGAAGAAATTTTTGGTTCAAATCACTTGAATCTGTTTTAAGTATTTAATCGCCTTGTTTATGTTGAAAGGAAAGAAGAAAACATAATTCGACACAGTAAAGCGAGTAACAGGTAAGCATTCGATGTAGTTGATATGTTCCTCAACAAGGTGAAATGAGTAAGAGGAAAATTGTAACCTTTGGAAGGAAACCCTACCCACTACAACCTTTTTGTTCCTCGTCTTTATCTACATTGCAAAGTCATTTTCTTTTGACCCCTCTCTCAATTGCTTGTCTTTTGATTTCGAATAGGGCATAAAATCCCATTCATTGTTGGGTCTTGTTTGGATCTCTGCTAAAAATTATAAAAGGAAGTTTTTGCCCGTTTGCTTGTTCTTGTAGAATCTAAATCTATATAAAGCATAAATTCCCTAATCGATCACTGCTGAATTAGATTCGTGTATCTAATATGCTCGAGGACTTTTGGTAAAGACTATAATATGCGGCAAGAATATTTATGATCCTATGGTACGTGTCCAAGATTAGTGGCTTATATTTGTCAAGACATTAAATAATTAAGTGGGAATGTGCAGCAGACAATTCATTTTATTTTAATTAATTTACCAAGTTCATGTGCCGTTCACTTTTTAAAAGGGTGTCTATAGCTATAGGGAGTAGTAGCCAATTGTTGTGAAAATCTTACTGATTAGCGGGTGAAGTCAGGGCAGTAAGCAAATCATCTATTAAGAAAAAAGCTTTAGGGTTTGAATTCGAATGGACTGCACAAGTATGTGCAGCCTATGTTGCAGTAGGTTGGTTAAAACTATACAGCTAGAAACACGAGTCCGTTTAGAAGGTGGGTTCAAAATAAGTGATTTAAATCAGAATTTAAATTTTATGAGAGAAAACCTTATAACAAAACTTTTTAAATTCAATTTATTTGTAAAAGAAAACATTGTTTGAACTCAAATCAAAGTGGTTTAAATCCTTTGGTGTGATACAAAAATTGTCAATTTTTATTACACGTGTTTAAAAACTTATCACGTCAACTAATAAATAATAATAATAATAATAATAATAATAATAGGCTACATTTAGAACTGAAAAAATAATAATTCGTTATCACGTGAGTTGGTTAAAAACAATCAGATTATTGCTGGTATAGGATAACTAGAAATAAAAACAAATAAACACGCAAGACATATACAAAGAGATCACATAGAAAACTGGCCACAAAAAGAATAGGCAAAGAATAAAGGAATAATTGTGGCTTTTTAATCTGAAAACCAGTGCCTAAAATGGTCTACCAATAATATAGCCTTCTTTAACAATTAGGCTCTTGAAAATGTATTGAAAAAAATTTTAAATAAAAAAGAAACTTGAAGAAAAGTGATGGGCAAAAGAGAATCAGCAGCACTTTTAAAGAAGATGATGAAGATTAGAATGCCACTTTATAACAGAAGATAACACCCACCTTCTTCCGTGGAAAACCATATGGTATTAAAATAAACAAAAAAAAGTAAAGAAAGAGATGTAAATAAGAATATTAAACCAACACATGTGATCCCTTTGCAATGATTACTCTCCAATTTCCATATATTTTAAGCGTCCTAGAGCTCTTTAATTATGTCCCTTCTCATGAACCTGCATTATGCATAGTACAATTATTAATTAATCCAAATAAGATGAGAATGATACAAAAAGATAATCATATTATAAAAAGAAGATTAATAAAAAATTATGTAGCTAATTTTATTGGAAGAAAAAACTAATTCACCCATTGTTTTCCGACAAATCGAGAGGAGAACAATCAGAACGGCTATGCCTGCAAGTACGCCAACAATAATGGCCACTGTTTTTCCCGCTTCATCTTCATTAGAGGAATCTATACAAACACCAAAAGAAAAAGGAATTAGAATTAGTCCTATATATATATATATATATATACATGCCTTTTATATCTCAAGATTTGATTGACTGCTTCATAAAAGCTTATTCTCTTGGCAAGTTGATATTATTTGAGTCTCAAATAAGTAACGAATTAGTTGAAAAAGTTTCTAGTATTAATTCCATATATTTTTGTGCTAAAAACTAAGTTAGAAGAAGATAAGTGTAGAGTTCTTTAGTGATTTAATTCCTTGGAACTTTATTCTTAAATACTCGAGACCGTCTTTTTTCTTCTTATAAAATGCTATGGTGAATAATTGCACTTAATGTGAATGATACTATATAGGCGGTAGAAAATTGCCATAAGTCGGCTAATTATGAAAAATATACATAAAATAAGGTAATGAAAATCAAATAGTCTAAAATATATGAAAGAACAAAGTGAGGAATGGCAGAAAGATTGGAGGACCAAAAAGCAAGCAACTAAAGAACTACCACACTCCTTAATGGTTTACTTTGTTGACCTTGGTTTTGGAGAATTTGAACCACTCTCTCTCTCTCTCTCTCTCTCTCTCTCTCTCTCTCTCTCTCTCCCCAGAAAGAACTAAAGTAGTCAATATGTCACTTTAAGTAAAAACGAGTTCCTTTTAGTTTCAAGAATTTCCCAAAGCACAAAGTATGCAGCTAATAAACAACATAAAAAGAATCTAACTTAACAACACTAGCACTAGGACAATAAAAGAAGAGAAAACATATGTGTTCATGTTATGAAACACTCATTAATAACATTACCAAGTTTCTGTCTCATGATTAAAAGATGGACATGAATATAGTGGCCGCAAACTTAATCTAACAGTAATTTCACATATATCTCTAATGTCGAGATCTTTTAATAGTAGTTTCATACAGTAATTTCATACATATCTTTTAACAGTAATTGCATACATATTTTTAATGTCGAGGTCTTTGAAATCCTCAACACTAAGTGAAAAAAAAAAACAAAAAAAGAAGAGTAGGAGAAGAAGATAGAAAGATTGAGTAAAAGAATGAACCTGAAGATAGATCATAGTAGCCAGAAGCCCAATAACGAGCATAACATTGTGCCAAGAACACATCGGCGGCTGCAGCCGAACCACACAGGCTCTTCACCTTCCCGATAGCATCCGCAAGACAAGAAGAGCAATCCGTCGGGCTTAAATCTCCAATACACTGAGCAAAGCCTTCAACCAAGCCAGAGCTACTAACCCTAAAGCTCGTAGCCCCCTGCAAGTCCGCTAGAACGTCGTCTCTTCGCCTAAAGAACTCGACGTCGTTGCTCACACTCTTGCTGCACTTCTTGTACCTTAGACCGGTATCGATTTTCCCCAAGAAGTCTAAATGCTCGTGTCTAATATAGCAGCCTTCTAGCTGTAAAGAAGCTCCATAGGAGTAGGGACAAACGAGGCCTATTTGGTTCACCAAGCTCTCTATGCACTTTGAGCAGTCAAGAGAATTCAAATCACCCCTGCACTGGTATAAGCCGAATATGGTGGCTTCCGGCGGTGTGCTTGAGCTTCCGTTACCGATGGCGAAGCTGTTGTACAACGCTTGAGAGGATGAGCTAACAACTGAGGACAAAAAAGAGTTGCGGTTTCCATCGAAGGCGGAGTTCGGTTGGAACTTCTCTTCCGAGCAGCCTGCGTAGATGAAGATGTGAGCTTTGATAGTGTGGCCATGGACACTAATTAGTGAGGAAAAGAAGAAGAAAAAAGAAGCAACTCCAAGAGCTAAGAAGGGCTTGTGAATGGAGTGAAAATGAAGGCTCTTCACCATTTTTCCTTTTTTTTTTTTTTTTTTTTGTTCAATTTGTTCTATCTTGTATTCTTTTGTTTTTGTTCTGTGCTTTGAGTGGATGATGTGAGACTGAAAATGAGAGATTAGTTGCTTTTTGGTCTTTCATGAATTCTCATGTGGCACTTTTTGCTGTGAAAGAAAATTCGGCCCCCATTTGTTGTTCCTCATGGGCCTACTTGAGTAAGTTCATTTTTAAAAGCATTAAATGTGGAAATTCTGATTTCCTTTAAGTTAATATTTGTTTTAAGTTCACCAATCACCGCTGTTTATAATTCTCTCCATAAACATGCTCTTTGCATGATCAAAATGATCTTAATTTATCAATAGTCTGTTTTAGTGTATTGAGATCAAAAAATAAGCAATTAGGACATGAAACAACAGTATTTATCACCAATAATAGCTTCAACAAGAAGTAAATGACATATAAACCATATCATTACAGAGATAATAGAAAGTACCTTTAAGGTCTATTTGCCAAAATCCTTGCATAGTCTCAACATCTAATAGTCATAACAAACCCAAATCCTTACATAGTCTCAGCATCCAATAATTATCACCAACAATACCGTAAACTCTCTAGAAATTTTTTTTTTTTTTTTTAAATGGAAAACTCTCTAGAATAATAAGTTCTCAAATACTAATCTAAATTCACACATCCAACAGAGTTGTACTACACAAATCTTCTATCTGAATTGGCATCATCACCTTATTGATCTGGAACAACAGTAAATTATCACTTAAAATAAGCAATTAGTACATGAGTCAGTAGTGCTTTTTTTATGACATAAACGTATATTTCGACATCCCCATTTCCTCATACATTTCAACCTGGCTAAAAGGCACTTTATATTTCGAAAAAAAATATGATTTTATATTATTCACTCATGAAAATAGATGAAGCAGTTGTAATTATGACAAACACACATATCCAAACGACATTCTATGAATGGATGAATAAAATCACATTTTATTACAAAGAGAATTGAAATGGTTATCGACCAAAAGTTAACTTACTCAGATCCACGCTTTGTTCTAAGCCATTTTTTGATGGCTTTGCTCAGGTGGACTAATGTGTTTGTTCCCCCGGGACGTGGGCTATCTTTGGCCAGACTTCTCCGCTTTCTCATCTGCGTCGATCTTTCGAAAAGTCGAGGACAATTGTGAATTGAGAGGTGTTGGATGAGACACTTGATACCTTCACGCAGGAATATTGTAGGACCTGTTTATTTCGCTGATTCGAGTTTTTAATTCGAGTTGAGATGTGATTTTATGTGAGTTTTTTACTGTAGTAAAAAAGTCATATGTGACTGTTTCTAAGAGCTTTTTTCGGTATCAAAACTCGAATTTCAAACTCGAATCGAAGAAATAAACAGGGTAATATTTTCACATCCTGAAATCGCCAAGAATCTCAGTGAAGCAAGTTTCTCAATCCACTCTGGCAAAGCTCGTATGCCGGGAAAGTTTCCGATTTCAAGACTACTCATTGTGTTGACGTTTTGTAACCTTCTGGTAATGAAGTCAATTTGTCACAGCTTATGCAAAGTCCATAAGCAACGGTTTGTGTTTGTTAATCGTATTGATAATTTCAAAATAGATATTGTTAACGGTCAAATTTCACCAACAAAAAACCGACCGGATTACCTCTTGGTTTCCCTTCGGATTACCGGCCGCGTGTGTGTAGTTTAATGCATGTGGATTTGTTGAACATGTGTGTGTTTGTAAGTTAACTAAATCATACACAGACGCGGCTGGTAATCCGAAGGGAAACTAAGAGGTAATCCGGTCGGTTTTTTGTTGGCGAAATTTGACCGTCAACAATTGGCGACTCCACTGGGAACCGAAAGCGTTCGACCCCCAACAACATAGTGATAAACCGCCGCCCATCCAGGGAATAGCGGGATGGAAGGAGATCTACACCCGGTCAGAAACGAAGTTCCACCTCCAGACGCGCGCGGCCGGTAATCCGAAGGGAAACCAAGAGGTAATCCGGTCGGTTTTTTGTTGGCGAAATTTGACCGTCAACAACAGATATTAATGGTACTAATTTTGAAGTTCATGTTTCCAAGGATATGATCTCCATATTTTATATATAAAAAACAAATTAATAGATCTCTTAAAATCTTTCAAAATATCAAATTCCAATAGTTTGAAGGTATAACTAACCTGTAATTATGCATGAGAAAAGTTTTTAATATGAAAACGGTTTTTCGCACAAACATTTTCTTGATGGATGCAGTTCTGATACCTTACACGAAAATATCAATATATTAATTTCAACGACTACAAAAATTGCAACACTTGTTCTATCTTGAGACTTGAGCTACAGGACTCTGTGTCGAATGATAAGCGCCCACTTGAATCTTACGACATCTATTTTAAGATTGTGAAAAAGGAAAAGGCCTTGTGAAAGATTGTGTAGTTTTTTTTTTTTTTTTTTTTTTTTTTTTTTTCCCCCCAGGCAGCCACTTGTACTTTAATTATTCTAGTCTTTTAGAATTTTTATCCAAAGAGACAAATATCGATTCCTATAATTCCTTCAAAACATGTCCCAAATCTCATTTGAAGAAGGATGAAAGATAATTCGAGGCTGATCAAGGTTTGCTAGTCTAAGGTTTAGTTTGGTATTGCTTTTCACTTCCAAAATCAGCTTCTGCTCGTAACAGAAGTTGATTTTAGTATTTAGTAAATCTCCTCAAAAGTATTTTTTGAAGAATTTTTTAAAAATCTACAACTAAAATCAGAAGTAGTCTAAAGACAACTTTTACTTTTAGATTATATAGGAATCAGCATAGTACAATTAATGAAACTTTCATAATACACATAATATTCCTAATGAAATTTAAAATTTACAATCTTCCCAGACTAGTAATATAATATAATATAATAGTAATATTGTAACAAATAATATCACAATTTTATTAATAACTCTAATATTATTATTTTAACATATAATATGATATTATAATAATATTTTAATTATGTTAATAATATGATATTATAATTATTATTTTATAATATATTATATATTATATTGTATTGATATAATTATATTTATTATATTAATAATGCCAATCATTCTCAATCAAAATCAACCGATCAATTATTTTCAAAATAATGCCAACTATTCTCAAAATAATGCCAATCATAAAGCGATTCGAATCAAAACAGAATTTGAGAAACAAATCCCAACACCAAGTATGATCATGCAAACTAATTACTTGTACTAAGGGAAAAACGAGTTGATTTCTGCTTGACCTTCTAGCACATTGATCATTCTTTGTTTCCCAGATGGAAGAGGACCTCTAAATCCAAAGTACAATATTACAACTTCTTTATCGATGAATTAGTCAGCCATGGTCACGACAAACATTATATAAATATTCCAGTTATTATTTGAATAATATTATTATATTTTATATCATAATTATATAATATATTATATAATAATAGTTTTGTATTATATTAAATATAATAATAAATATATATTTTATTGTAATTATATATATTATATTATAGAATAATATAATATAGCCGTAATTTTAATTATTTACACTAATTTAACTTCATAATTTACCGAACGATATTACATTGATTTTGGAATCAACACAGTTACTATAATTATAGTTTACTAAACACTTAGCTATTTTTTATAACAGTTATTTCTTTTTTCAGCACAGCTAAAAGTAATTTTTTTAAAATCTACAGCACTACCAAACTAAGCCTAAGGGTGAGGACATTTTCGTAACTATAATAGCTTAGAGGAAGTACTTAACGTCAAGCAAGCCTTATTAATGGGCTGGGCTGGATTAACAAGCCCTTCACTCATGTCAATCAATTAAGCCCAGTCCACTACCATTCAATGTTTTCACGCAAGCCTCAACTTTGTAATCGATCTTTCGCTTCTTCATTGTTGCCGAAGTCAACATCTAATAAAATTTTATTGTTTGAGCCGAATTTGTTGATGATCATTTTTGAGTGTGATAAATGCCCCGAAATAGCAAGTAACACGAATCAATTAGGAATGTTTTGTATATGGGTTCTTCATGAGTTTAAATTCATGATTTCAATTCTACTACAACATTTTTCTCTTATAAAAAATTTAAATTTTAAAAGTCTTAATTTAAAACTGTTAATTTAAACTCTAATTTAAACTCATATACCAAACAGGCCCTCAAACACAATAGTGAATGTAAGAACCCAATTCCATGAACATTGCGGTCCTCTTGAAGCCACGCATTTGGATGCTATTGGCTTTAAATACACAAATTAAAAGTTAAAACACACACACAATAGTAATAAATATTACCAACCCAGCAACCCCTCAGTTAAAGGCTTTTGAAGTAATAATTCTTAACTAGCCTCTAGCAGGGTGAATTTTCTCACTGTAGGTAATATTTTACCAAACATTAAATTATTAGTTACTTTTTAAAGATGGCTTTTCAATGTTAGACCGATATTGCTACTCAGCCCATAATGTAATATAGGCTAATCTAGACAAGTAATTTAAAAGAGTAGTTGAGAAAGCTTTTTACACTGCCGCGTGGGATTAATTTCTTCACGAAACACGCTTACTATGTTAATCAGTTTGCTTATGAAAGACAATTAGAGTTAACTATATGTGTGATTAATATATATATATATATATATATATATAGACACGCACACTAATTTAAGCTCATGAGAATTGATATTGTAAATTTGCTGAATGCAAGTTAGATTAATGGATTATAGGATAATATTTGCCAATCTTGAATGCTAATTACGAAACATCCTCATATTATTTTGAGACATGACTTTTATAGCATAATTACCACAAACTTTTTTTTTTTTTGGTAAAGTTCCCAATTTATTTTAACTATCTGATCAATGTCACATGATTAAAATAATATATAAGACTCAAGAATAGATAAATATTAAGTAACTATTAAAACCACACTCATATATATATATATATATATATATATATCTACTTTCTAGAAATCAATATACTTCA